CCTGTATTAAATGAGGAGACTTCCTGTGTTGAATGAGAGGAAACCTGCTGTGTTGTTTTAACTCAAGTTAAAGTTGTAGTCCTGTTTTGTGTTGTCACTCGTCTTCTAGACGTCCAGGTTGACTCTTCATGGTTCTCAGCAGGTCTAAGTCCAGGTTCTGGACCTGAACATCTTAATGTCTCTGTCTCTGCAGGGTTCTGTTCAGCAGCTCGGTCCTGAACCTGTGTGAGCTGGTGGCTCTCAGACCTGATCTGGCTCGACTGAAGAAGATCCTCTACTTCCATGAGAACCAGCTGGTTTACCCGGTCCGCAAAGACCAGGAGAGAGACTTCCAGTACGGATACAACCAAGTTCTGTCATGGTAGGAGTGTTTCTGTCTTTATACAGTGTTGGAACATAGGGCTTGTGAAAGAATAGCATGAAAAAAACAGCTGGTTCGCTGGTTCCACCTCCGTCAGGCGGGAAGGTTCCACTATGTCTGTGTTTGTTAGGTTCATTTTGTGTGTCATTTCAAACATGAAGTGGGTGAAGCAACAGAAAGTGAAACATTGTTAAACAATGTCACTGTTAAAATATCTCTTAATTCATACATTTATTATAAAATCATGGATGTCATTAATTGTCAGCTCAAACCATTTGTTTTCATGAACATGTCAGGCTGAATGTGATTGGTTAATGACCTAGGCTGACATGATTGGTTAATTGGGTTGACATGCTGCTGTGGGGGTAATTGAAGTGGCTCATTAATCAGACGTCTCCAGTAAAGAGCAGCTCAGTAACTGAAAACTGATTGTTGTTGATCGGCAGAGCTGCTCATCAATAAGTCTCCGTCCTCCATCTCCACTAACGATGTTAAAGTGGCATCAAGTAACACCACAGATCATTAGGACTCCTCTGATTGGATCACAGCCAGACTACTTTGGATGGAGTTCAGAGAGACAAAGTCCGACCACGAAGTGGATGATTGATGGATGTATCAGAGATGGAACATTGATCAATCAGCTGATCAGCTCAAAACTAACCACAAAAGTATTTCAGGATCAAGGTCAACTTAACGTCATCATCAAAGAAAACAGAAACAACACAGAACCAGAAAATGCAACTGATGTATAAAATAAATATAAGATATCACATCTGAGTGCCCATAAATGTTACTTCCGGTTCGGTCTTCACCTGTCTGTCTGTTTCTCTCTCTCTCTCTCTCTCTCTCTCTCTCTCTCTCTCTCTCTCTGCCTCTGTCTCTCTGTCTCTCTCTCTCTCTCTCTTCGTCCTCAAGCCTGGTGGCGGACATCGTCGTTTTCAACTCGTTCTTCAACATGGACTCCTTCCTGTCATCTATCTCCTCCTTCATGAAGAAGATTCCTGACCATCGACCCAGAAACCTCGAGCAGCTGATCCGTCCCAAGTGTATGGTCCTGAGCTTCCCGCTCCAGTTTCCTGACGTCAGCAGGTCAGTGAGAAGCTGGCCGAGGTCGCCATGACAGACTGTGATGTTCGTGACGTGGTTATTTGTGTCACATGTTTTAGAGGTGAAAAACTGAGTCTGAACCAGAGACAAGTCTGGTTTCTTGTTAGGATGTTTACAGGTTGTGTGTTGGTTGTATGTGTGTCTGTGATGTAGTGGTGGTCGTGTCAGTGAGCTGCAGGATGACTCTTCTCTTCCCTCCAGTGTTTCTCGGCTCATATTCAGATGTTAATGTGTCTGATCCACAGAGTGTAAGTAAGTGATTATATGCATGGCCGACAATCCCCCTCACGCCCGCGGTCGTCCAACCGAACACTGAGTCTGACTCTTTGAAAATACAACGCTCTCAGAAACGTAGCGGGGGAAGGCGGGTGACGTGATGCGTTAGGATTCATGGAGGAAAAAAACTCGGAAGAAACTTAACTTGTGATGAACACTTGTGTGCAGGAGCTTTAGTTCTGTTGCAGATCAGCTGTTTAAATCACAGACGAAACACAGTGATAATTTGCTTGATTCTGTCCAACATCGACCAAAGTCCAAAGACCAAGTCTCCAAGATGCAGGCGCAGTATTTGTTGTGTCTTGTAAAAACATGGAGGAAGCAGCAACAGGTGAAGCTGTAACAGAACTGTTAGTATCTCCGGCCATAGCTAACACATAACACCCACCGTTGCCACATTGCTGCATTTAACAAATGTTAATATTTTGTCCCAACTCTGAAATTTGCGATCAACATCTGCACTTAATTGAACAAGATGTCGACCTTCAATAAATAATGAAAATACTATCATCATTTAAAATTAGAAATACAAAGTATGTCAATATAAAACTTACTATAGTTTGTGAATCAGTAATTTTTGAACATTAACAACACATTTTAACAACACCGTGACGATACTAATAATCGTGATCATTTTGTTCGCTATAATCATGATCCAACATTTTCACACCGTTTTCATCTCTACACTTGTTAAACTAAAACATTTTCACTTCAGATGCTTTCTCTCCTCTCGTCAGTCACCTTAGTGTAAAAGCTGCAGCCAGTTAAGTGATTCCATTCAAACTTAATCACTCTTGGTTTTCTAGTTTTAAACAGAAACAAACAGAAAATGATCCTTGGCTCAAACCAACGTTTATTTTTCAGATCAGTTTGACAGTTAATTGATTCAGGGTTAAAAAAGAAACGGTGTCTTTTGTGGCGAGTCGGAGGCCCCTTTGTGGTCGCTGTTTGTCGTATCCATCTATCAATCAGCCTTTGAGGGGAAGACTTTTGTAATTTAATAGTGATTGACCTGAGCGGGCAGAAGCCTGCAGCGGGACACAAAGACATCACATCCATCACAGCTGAGCAGCAGGATGTCCACTTGTCCCAGACTGAAACCAGATTAATGTAGACACCATGTGATCAGCAGGTGTCTGATTCTTTTCTTGTTCTTTGTCTTTGTGCAGCTGTGGGGTTCTGCTGGTTGTCAGGTGCGAAACTGTGAATCCAATAAAATCTTTGTTTTAAACCAGATGACGATGATGGTTCCGCTCCGGTCTGGTTTAAATGACACCACAGTCTGTTCTATCTTTTCCTCTTAGAACTTTCTACCAACTAACGAATCAACAATGTTTTGTCCAGAAATAACAGCAGATTTCATTGTGATACCGGCTGTGTATGTTACAGTAACTAAAAACACACACGTGGAGTCTGCTGTCATCAGGATCTGGTTTCAGGATCTGGTTGTAGATCAGTTGTGGTCCGTGTTTGACAGATCAGCTGATTCTTCTTCATGTCACCGTTTTTCCTCCATATGAACTTTCTGTTGTTTCATGCTGAGCTGTTCACGCTCTGTAGACCGATGCCATGACGACGGTTTGACTGTATCTCGGTCAGGACGGCCCTCAGGTCATCTGACCGTCCATGTTCTCTGGCAGTGATTGGTTGTGACCATCGACTCGTTTCATCAGTATCTAATGTGGATCTTAGTGTGATGTAATGACCTGCAGAGCCTCGTCCAGTCGGCTGCACTGAACCGCCCCTCCGAGCCTCTGACCACTGCTTCCTGCTGATTGGATGGTTTTAAAGTGACAGGAACCTCTGAGCTGTGAAACGTCCAGTCAGCCCGACTGATACCGGGTCAGCTTCAGGCCCCCGGGGCCCCGAGCTGGCCCCTGGCACACACTTCAACTTCCTTAAGTGTTTATAACCACTTCCTACACACAGACACACACACCTTCAGGGGCAGTAGTACTCCACAGTACCCCACAGTACTCCAGTACTCCACACTAGTTCAAATGCACCAAATGAACGTCCTCATGGTTCAAACGTTGTATTGTTGGAGGTGAAGAGGCTTCTTCTTCTTCTTCTATGGTTTAATGTGTCTCTACTTCCTGTGATTGCTCCAAAAGTCCAAACTGTCCAACAAAGTGTTTTCACTGTGAACCAACAGAACCATGGTTCAGTGTGATCCAGACCCAGATCTCCTCTTCTGGTCTGAGGAACCGTTCAAAACAATTGAAACCTGACTTGTTTTGTTTTTTCTCATTTCTGTGAAACAAATGTTTTCAAGGTTTGTTCTGTTGAACGATAGATTTCTGTAAAGACCCAGTGAAGCTGTTAAATGCTTCAGGTCCTGGGTTGGGTCCTCTAACAGAATGTGTGTATAGTGTTGAGTGGAGCTGTGTGTTTGTAATAAAGTAAATGAATTGAAATTATTTTTGACCTTCATCTTTCATCAGACTCAGAGGTGAGGTCATCACACAGATCACTGTTGATTTATCAAGAACATAATTGATTTCCCCCACCCCCACCCCACCCCCCCACCACGTGGACACAGTCATGTTTTTATTGCCTCCGGTCAAACATCTCATTTCTAAAATGGATTATTGAATCATGTTTTCTCTGAGGCAGCGACCACACCACTCTCTGTCCAACTGTCCGTCCACCTTCTTCACTCCTTTGTGTCCACGGTGCTCATGACTCTGGACCCACATCCAGGATGGTTGTGGAGCTCTGGAAGCTGCTGTGTTGATATGAATCACTGATGTGCAAACAAGTGTTTTTCTCTTTTTGTGTTTCAGGCTGATGCCCAAACACAAACTGGTCCGTCAGCAGCAGATCAGAGCTGAACCTCACACTCACAGGTAAACTCACCTGACGCTCTGTCACAACTAGTTCAAATCAGTTCAGTGTTTGTGCTGTGGACCTGATTAACAAGTGACATTTAACGTCTTTTCAAACACTTCATTCTAGTTGATTGATATGAATATAAATATTAATTTAGTT